TTGAAGATACCTTCATTACCTTTGGGTCACCAATAATAGAGCGTTCGGGGCGTCATAAGCTCATGAACGTCTTCAATCTGCATGTAGGAGTGTATAACCTGCTATCTCATTCCTTCCACACAAGCTGTAATCAAAGTGCTGCTGCGTCAACAATGCCATGTTAATCGTGATGCTAATTAATATAGGAACACTGCTGACGACAAAACGCAAGATGCAATGAACGGAAATAGATATCATAAAGGTGGACAGTATAGTATCCTTGCGCTTAGCGATGGTAAGCTTGGCCACGACGGTCTGTCCGGCAGACTCGTGTGTGCAAAGTTGAAATATCTTCCATTTATGTCCAATCCCACGCCGCTACTACAGCGTTACTAGTATCGCTTTAGGTTATGGGATCTCGACACAAGTCATTGAAAGCGGGAAAGACGCAATAATTAGAGCAGGTATATAACCAAAAATCGCCTACATGAACACCGAGTTCAAATGGGTATACTACTAAGAGCGTCAACACCGAGCCCCACATTGGATTCATCAAAATTCTCCAGCGATGTCAGAAAGCCACATTGCGGGACCACGTGCGGCTAAACAGATCACCTACGCTCCATTGGGCCTGAAATGGAAGCCCAGTGATCAGCGACCTCGATCCTTCGCCTGATCAGGCCTGAAAAAGAGGATATGATTTTTTATTTAATTTGTGACGCCAGTGCTCTCAAGAAATGTTTGGAGTCGTTTTTGACAGACCCCGTTTCATTTCCAGCAGCAGCGAATCTGTGCCGCTGATACTTTCTGTTCTGGGAGTGGTCAGCCGCTTTGGCTGGAGCCACGCTATACTTTTTTAATTCAGGTGGCGACATCCTTCTTTTTCTGCCATAGATTTGGTGAGGCCACATTGGGGTGAAGCTAATGGAAGCTTGCTATAACAGCATATTGTTGATAGTTCTGTAAGCAAGAACAAATTTCTTAGAATGGGGTCTGATGTCGGTATACTATTTGGAGATTTGGAGTGGGTATAATGTGAGTTGTATACTCTACTCTCCCATCACATTTGAGTGGGATATTTCGATTTGGCACGGTACACAATTTGGCATTTTCCGTTAGTACTCTAACATTTGTTTTTTTTATTAGCGGTGAGGTCAACTTTGTTGGAATCCAGATTCATATCTAGGACCAGCGTCAACGTGAAGTACGAAACGGATGGTCAAACTACGGGACCTGGCACAACTGAGTTGAGCACAAAGGCGCATATAGTGAAGACAAATGGTGCCAGGCCAATGCATGGGAAGCGACTGCAGGTCGCAAAAGAACGTTGAGCTGAGGTGTAGTGAAGCTAACGATTTAATTCATTCCTTCTTTTACCTTTCAGTGAACTGGTGAAGTCCCTAGGGCATACGGATCAAGTGCATTATCCAAGAGGGTTCTGAGCCCAAGACTTTCGGATTTTGCGCGCTAACGTGATCCAAGATGTCAGGACCATTAAAGTATACGAATGATGGTGTCCCAAAGAACTGGGATGGGAAGGACTGGCAGCAGTACAAATGGGCGATGGAGATAGTCTTCAAGAAGAAGAAGCTCACGGATATCGTGAACGGAAATCTCACGAAGACGATGGTCTTCACGTCGGAGGCTGAGGAGGAGTTTAATGATCATCAGTTGACCATCATGCAGCTCATCGGGATGTCGCTGCCAGCAGAAATCTTCCACCAGATTCGCGACAAATCCACCGGGACCGACATGTGGAAAGCATTCTGCGTAATCTATGAGAGCCGGAAGAACCGGACTACCATGGCTCATAGAACTGAGAGCATTCGACACGAGCTTGATATGCTCAAGCTGTCCGCCGTCGGAGACGTCAACAAGCACCTGAGTAAGATGTTCAACTTGCTGTCTCTCAACTATCAATTTGACGACATCGCGATGGTGGAGCTAATGTTGAACAGTCTACCGCACACGTATGAGTTTGAGAGCTTGAAGAGTGGTGTTCGGTACAATTGTGCTGACACATACATCACTCCAGAGCGGACTCGAGAGCTTATTCGTGTCGCCGACTCTCGACAGAGAGTTTTTCAAGCTAAGAGTGGGAAACACAGCCAGAAAAGCGGTAGTGGTTATAAGCAGAAGGCCGGTGGTAATGAGCAAAAACGTGAAAAACCTGAGAAGTCTAAAGACACAAAGAAGAAGGTGAAAAAGTGCTTTGTTTGCGACAGTACTGAACACCTTATTTCGGAGTGTCCGCTGAAGGTGGAAAACCAAGACGGGGCCGCTGCTGGAAGCGAGCAGAGGAAGAAGGCATGTGCAAATGTGATTACTCGTGTGGGCCACGGTAAGTCATTAGACTCAGATACAGAAGAAGTATCAGAAGAAGTGATGGACGCTTTGGACGCTCTACTGATCGACGCCAGACTGCCGGCGGAGAACAGCTAAGAGAATGAAGCGGGTTCAAACGAGGAGAAAGAGGCAGAAG